TTTGTGCTGGGGCCCACACAAGGCAATGCAAACGGAGTCCCATGAAGAAAAGGTACCTTAGGGTTTAGGGGAAAGGTTTTGGGTTGGGGGTTTTGAAAAGAGGGTTGAGGGATTAGGGTTAAAAGGGAGGGGCCCCCTTAAACAGAAAGATGCCCTACTGTAATTGAAGTCGAACCTGCTGCAAGAGGGATTGGCCCCCCCAAATCCAGAGAGTCTGAGCAGCACCCCCAACCACCACAAACCCGAAAGAATTTTTCCGCGCAAGTTTAGAAGCCTCGGCCCCAGAAAACCTATGTAAACCCTAAACCCCAAACCCCAAGACTCCTAAACCCTAAACCCTACACCCTAAACCCCTAAACCCCTAAACCCCTAAACCCCTAAACCCTAAACCTTCGAACGTCTCAAGACTGGGATCTGATCTCAGGAGGGGCTCATAGGCTTGCGTCGGCCTCAGGGAGAGGAGTGGGAGACGTCGGGCTTGGGGAAGAAGGTTTTAAGGGGGGTTTTAGGGTTTAGGGCTTAGGGTTTCTAGGGTCTGCGACTGTTGCTAAGACTTTCCGGCCAGGACATCATAGCCCGGATGCAAAAAAGGGCTTAGGGTTTAGGGCTTAGGGTTGAGGGTTTAGGTTTTATAGGGCTTAGGGTTTAGGGTTTCGGGTTTCTTTGAGAGGTTTAGGTTCGTTTAGGGGTCAGGAGGGGGAGGGGGGGGAGGTAAAGACCATGCAGCTTTCCAGGTTGAAAGGCTTTAGAGATGGTTGGAGGTGCAAGAGGGGCGAAGGATGCCCAGAGACTACCAAGAGAGCCCAATACCCCTTAGTCAAGGATGGGGATCCTTAATCTTAATCTGATGTAAGGTATGTTCCTTCATGAAGGGCTATTGGGCTCTGTGGGTAGAGGCTTACGGCATTAGGGTGTGACTTTACCCCAGTTTGGTCTAGCGGAGTAGGCTGTTGGGATGGACGTCGTGTAGGTTTGAGCTCGCGAGCTTGCGCTGACGTCGGTTTCCCATTATTTATTATTGGTGTTATTGTTATTATTATTATTATGATTATTATTATTTAGTATTTGTATTATTATTGTTTTTATTTGATTTTTTGTCATTTTTTGATGATTATGTTACTTTGTTTTTTTTTTGGGGGGGGGGGAGCGCGGAGCGGGGCATGCGGGTCCTAAATCTCTAAGGGGCTGGGCAGGTGACCTTCAGCCTTTTTGGTCGTATAGTAGTATAGAATCCTACACACAAAAGGGTACTGTAAGCTTTATTTTGGGCGAGGGTATTTAGCGAGTGAGATCTTGGGACCCACAGCTCAACCTTAGTTAGGGGAGATTGGGTTCTTTCGGTTCAGGTGAACACTCCATCGACCCCGAAATCCCTGAGGGCTGGGAAATCCTCTGCGGATGCTCATCTTAGGGAAGGTACACGATCCTAAACCCTAAACCCTAAACCCTAAACCAAAAACCCTATGGGCCCGGAACTTGGGGATCCCTGAGAGAACCCCTTATATGGCCTCTGACAACCAAAGGGCCCACACTTCAGAACCCTACTTGGAGGTTCATGTGTACTTGTAAGTCGGAATAGAAGTAGGGTCACTATGGTTATAACCTTACTTAGGGTTTTGGGTTTAGGGTTTTGGGTTTAGGGTCACTATGGTGATAACCCACTTATACAACCTTACTTAGAAGTACCCATGGGCCTCCAAGCGCTCAGGTACAGGGCGTTTCCGATCCACCAGGTGACCTGGGCACCCTTCAACGGCTGCTTCTTGTCTGCTTCGGCGCCTCCCTCCCGGAGTTCGTTTCATCGTCGGGTCGCCGGGAAATCCTTCGAAGAAGAACCCAGAAAGTCTCAATCCTATACATACATCCATAGATACATCGTTAGCCTGAAAATATAGGAAGTATACAGAAATACAAAATTATGTGTATATATATATATATAGATTGTTTTCAACCCTATATTTGAGGAAAGGATCCAGCTTCTGTCCAATAGTGCACTTCGGGAGCTCATCCGGTTAGCAAGGTGTCGGGTTCCCCCTAAACCCTAAACCCTAACCCTAAACCCTAAACCCTAAACCCTAGGGGCCCAAGGTAGAATCCCATGGTTGAACCCCAGACCTTAAACCCGCAGTGCTCCTAGTCGGGTGGCGCACAAAAAGCCCTAAACCCTAAACCCTAAACCCTAAACCCTAAACAGGTTACTTCATGGTCTACGAGAAGTTGAAAGCAATGTGCATCGATGCTGGGTCTCCTGCTTGCAACTGGACAAGCCCCAAAAGAGCCCCTTACGCAGGGTTTAGGGTTTGGGTTTTAGGGTTTAGGGTTTGGGGTTTGGGGTTTGGGGTTTAGGGTTTAGGGTTAGGGTTTAGGGTTTAGCCTTATATCGTATTCAGGATCCCTACATAGTTGAAGGTCTATGACATAGTTGAGGGGTATTCGGCTCTTGTGGTAGGAGTTACAGCAGGGTTTAGGCTTCAAAAAGGGGTTTAGGGTGATTAGGGTGTTTGCATTTCTGGGGGTTCAGGACATAACGAGGCACAGATCTGCCCCCCGTGCAGCGTGGCGTTGTTTTGAGTTTGACAACCCTAAACCCTAAACCCTAAACCCTAAACCCTAAACCCTAAACCCTAAACCCTAAACCCTAAACCCTAAACCCTAAACCCATCCGGAGGGGGGGGGGGCTTCACGCCAGCCTGGAGCGCATGCCCCCGCATGTTTGTCCGCCAGCGTTAGAGTTAGAGGTGCTGTATGGAACCGGCGTAGCATTTGCGAAGCAGGTATATTGGGTCTCAAATTCCCGGATCTTCCAAGACTACTTAATTTAAGGATTATTATACCCTAATTCATTCTGAGGGTCATTATTGTGAGTTAGGGTATATTCCTTCATTCAGGCCTTAATTTACAAGAACAAGGCAGATAGCCTTTTCAAGTTTCAAGGGCTTCGCTCCCATGGTCCATCCCATTATTTAGAAGAACTCCCCCCCCCCATTTTTTGGGGCGTCAACTTGGAGGTTGGCAGTTGTTCGTGGGGATCTGGGTTCTTGGAAGAGATGGAACTCACCTAGAGACATTCTACTGCAGCCACTGTGTGTGTGTGTGTGCCATGTGTGCCCGATCTTTGGCGCATGCAGACGTGTGAATCGAGCCTCTGTGCTCATCATTGCATCATTCTCGGACCGGGCAGGCCGGTGGCAAAAACAACTTCATGTACATATACACATACCTTTAAAACAGGTGTATATATATATATATAGTATTCAATCGTCGCAAAGCCCTACGGGCATGCTGAAGGTACGAAGATGGCCAGGACAACCTGGAGCCCTTGGCCCAGGCAGGGTTTTACCCTAAACAAGGTACGTATCCGGTTGGTAGAATTTCTTGGTGTGCAATCTGCATACCGGTCTTGAAGGTACTACTTGAGGTATACGTGGGCACAGAGCTTACTGTGCTGAGGGCCTCGGTGCTTGGGATTTAGAGATACTCGGGAGGTTCATGGGTAATACGTACCCTAAGCAGCTTTAGAAGTATATTTACCATGCTTATAACTGCCCATGTACCCTAAACCCTAAACCCTAAACCCCCGAGGAAAGTAGTGTTGCTGGCGGACATCTGCCGCTGACTTGCCCTCAGTCGTTGAAGGCCAAGGCGAGGGCACACGAGCTCGACTCGACTCTTCTAGCTTGGTGCATGTCCCTACTCATTGGGCCCTAAACCCTCAACCCTAAACCCTAAACCCTAAGCCCTAAACCCTAAACCCTAAACCCTAAACCCTAAACCCGAGCCCTAAACCCTAAACACTGAGTTCGTTCCGTCGATTTCATCCCCACAGCTGTGGTTTGGCGAAGACAACAAGAAGCACCCGTATGGGCTGCATCCTGGTGCATCCAGTTAGCCCAATACTCGTCAGCATGGAATAGACCTTTAGGGTTTAGGGTTTAGGGTTTAGGGTTTAGGGTTTAGGGTTTAGGGTTTAGGGTTTTCATTCATTTTCAGGGACCCCGATATCGTTTAAGGCATACTCCTCACTTGCAAGGGGTGTCGGGCTCTCTGGGCAGATCGCGTTTCGGGTGTTGGATGCTGCAACAGCGCAGGTGTCCTGCGGCGTTGCGGCAGGAGTTGTCGCTGCATCTTGCCAGCATGCCATCTGAGATGCTGGTCGCGGTTTAGTGTTTAGGGTTTAGGGTCTTGGCCCTGCAAAGACATCCCGTCCTTAAGCCCGTGCAGTGGCTGACCAAGCCTGCAAGACCTGTAGTTCCGAAACGCAGCCCGGGTTTAGGGTTTAGGGAGTTAATATAGGTGTCCGAAGAACTACTCATAGTTGTCCCTTATGGTCCTTCTTATGCCTACACTATGACTACCCCCCCCCCCCCCCCCACAAAAAAAAATCTAGTTCTTCAGGCCCCCAAAAACCCTAAACATTAAACCTCGGCATGAAACCCCGCAGTGCTGTGGCTAGCCGTGTGCCAAAAAAACCCGAGGTTTAATTAACCCAAAACCCTAAACCCTAAACCCTAAACCCTAAACCCTAAACCTAAACCCTAAACCCTAAACCCTAAACCCTAAACCCTAAACCCTAAACCCTAGACCCTAGACCCTAGACCCTAGACCCTAGACCCTAGACCCTAAACCCTAAACCCTAAACCCTAAACCCTACCTTACGTAGACCAGCCCGAGGCCACAGTGACCAACCCCGTGGATGTGCTGAAGACCCGACGCTCGGAGAGAACGCATGCATGTCGGCTAAAATTCGAGTTGGTTTAGTTTTTTTTTCTACTATTTTGCTTAAGAACCCCAAAAGAATAAACAAATATTAATCCCTAGATTACCCTTAATAAGGAGGATTGTTTTTGCATTTTTTGGGAATCTTAAGCAATTGGTAGTTTATATTTAATGGCTACCGCCAGTGCCGCCGACCCCCTCCAAGGGGGGCCAAGGCACTGTGGGCTCCGGCCGCGGATTATGTATATATATATATATATATAGTCTTTCGCGTGGACAAGACCATGGTGGACAAATGGCCGCGGACTCAGTGGGATACCAACTCCATGTGCGACTATCATCAGCGGCAGTGCGTGCGCCGCATGTAGGGAGCGGCTGTGCGTGCGCCGCGTCAAGTTGTATGGCCTTATAAGTCCTCTAAATGTAGGGTATCAGTACACTTAACCCAAAATCTTGAACCCCTAAACCCGAAACCCTAAAACCTAAACTTAAACCCCACCTTAGGCCAACTCCGTCGACTTTGTGGACAAGGCCAAGCCCGCGCAGTGGGAGACACCCCAGAGGCCCCCCAGGGGTCCGGGGTTTTTGGGGCTTAGGGTTTTTGGGTAGCTTCCCATTCAAGCAGGATAGCCTTCAGCTGGGGCTTGGGGCTTACTGGGTGCGCGGTCTTGGAACGCGCGTGAACCCGCAGCCCATTTAAAGCCCCAAACCTCACAGTCCTCGAGAGGCCTCGAAACTATGCGGGGTAGAGGCGCCGGACGCAGAATACGCGGACTTGGAGCAGACGTGGCGAGCGGAACAAACAAACGAAGGGAAGCCGGGCCGAGCGCTAGCCGCAGAGAACACGCTGGATGTGCGTGAACTGGTGAAAGAAGCACGGAAAGCGCCGCAGGGCGGCGCAGAGGCAGAGGATGCCGTTGCAGAGGAAGCGCTGGAGCGCGAACCGACTGTACGCACGCGTGGCATCCGTGCCACCGTGCGTGCTGTCCACGAGTGGGTGACGGAGTTGCGCACTCGCGTCGATGAGAAGGGCAGACCTATCTGCAACAGAGCGCAGCACGCTTTCATTGAGCGGGTGGCGCGTCGAGTTGTGGAAGAGATGCAAACAGGCGAGGCACAGGGTGGCGCGCGTTCGGGCCTGCCGGACGCCATGCGCTGGGTGCTGCATGGCGGGCCTGGCACCGGCAAAACACACGCGGTCAAACTTCTGCGCAAGGAGCTATTCGAAGACATCCTGGGCTGGAGCCAAGGCCTGCAGTTTCAGTTTGCGGCGCTGCAGGCGGTAACAGCCGAGATGGTCGATGGGGACACGCTGCACCATGCCTTCGGGTTGAGCTGGGGCCAGAACGCCGCAGACACGACGCCGGTAACGAAAGGACTGCAGCAAGCGCAGCGCATGCTCCAGCTGCGCTGGCTTATAATAGACGAAATAAGCATGGTGAGTGTGGAACTCCTGGCAAAGCTAGAGCAGGCGTGTCGGCGGGTGATCCGGAATGGCAGCCCGTTCAAGCGCGATGCAGCCAACGTCGACAAGCCCTTCGGAGGCTTGAACGTTCTTGTCGTCGGGGATTTGTGGCAGCTGGAGCCTCCCAAAGGGCATTTCATCGCCGATTTGCCGCACGAGTGGCTGGGCAGTGCAGGCGCCCGGCAGCGGCCCCTCCTGGCGCAGGGGCAGGAGTTGATGTGGGGGCCGCCGGAGCTGGCTTTCCAGGGTTGCACGGAGCTGGAGGAATGCGAGCGCACCAAAGATGAATGGCTCAAAGAGTTGCAGGACGAATTCCGCTTCGGTCAGCTCAGTGCCGACAACCATGCTGTCTTGCACGGAAGACCGACGCGCGTGCCAGGCAGCTGGCTGCGCGGGCGAGCCGGGTGCGGACAAGCAAAGTGTCAATGCCTCGGCGCGCAGCAAGTAACGCCGGAGACCATCCTAGCACAGAAATGCGCAAGGTGCTGCGCCGAGCGTGCTTCGCGCCGATTAGTAGCCGAATCGTCGCACGATCCCAGATTCTTGGGTCGCTTCGTCCTCGCGCCCTCCATCTTCGCCACGAACGTACGGAAATGCCACACGAACAAAATCCGCGCCGAGGCTTTCGCGCGTCGCACGAAACGGCATTTGCACTACGTCGTGGCCCAGGATTGCGCTTGTGCGGCCGTCGTGCGCGAGAAACCGGACCTGGCCGAGCAGAAACTGCTCTGGCTGCAACGCCACGACCGGGAGTGCGGCGAGCTGTGTGGCATGCTGCCGCTGTGCGACGGCATGCCGGTGCTTTTGACGGACCACCTCAACCGCGCGCGCGGGCTCCTGAAAGGACGGCGGGGCTTCGTCACGGGTTGGCGCCACGCTACTGATGGCGCTGAACCGGCGGGGCCCGGCTGCACGGTCTGGAACCAGCTGCCCGAAGTAGTTTACGTGCGCTTCCCTGGCGCGAAGTGGCGCATTACTGGGCTGGCCACGGGCGTGTATCCCGTTGTGCCAAAGCGTGCGACGTGGCATCTGGATGCCGGCCGAAAATCGCCGGTGCTGGCAGTCCGTCGACGGCAACTTCCCCTAATACCAGCTTTCGCTATGACGGCGCATCAGGCGCAAGGACAGACGCTGGAGGAGGGCATCGTCGCAGATCTGTGTTATGGCGCGTACAGCAACGTCTTGGCCGCCTACGTTGCCTTGACGCGGGTCACGAGCCGGGAAGGCGTTCTCATTCTGCGGCCCTTCGATGCGGCTCCATTCCAGCAAGGCGACACCAGCTTCCGAGCGTTGCTGATGCAGCACTTGCGCACGCATGACGTCAACTGGGATGCCATCGTGCAGAGGTACGTGCGTGTCAAGACCTGCAGCGAGTGCCGAACAGAGCGGCTGAAGTCAGCGTTTACGCAGGGACAATGGAAGCAGCCGGACGGAGCAGCAATCTGCAAAGAGTGCACAAAGTCCTACCGCGAACGCGGCACGCCGTATCGCTGTAAGCGCTGCAAGCGATGGCAAGCCCCAGAGGCGTTTCCGGGCAAAATCAGCAATTATTTGATCTGGCAAAGCACTTGCCTCATGTGCCTGGAGAAGCGGCAATGTGGAGCTTGTGCGCACTGGTTTCCGCAGGCGGCCTTCACGCCCAATGGCTGGCGCCAGAAGCGGGACCGGACATGTAACGTCTGCCGCCAGAAGTTGCAGTGCCGGGACATTGGCCTCCGTGCGCGTCGCAGGCTGCACAACCGACAAGAGACAGTGCGTGCTGCAGACCGCAGCAGGAAACGGCAGCAAATCCTACAGGAGGTGCGGGCCGAAATCGAGAAACGGCAAAAGCAAGGCAGCAGCACCGGCGCACGGTGCCGAGCCCAGGTGCCGGCAGCAACAAAAGACGGGTGTCGGGCGTGCGCGGCGTGCGGCGTGGGCACGAACAGCGAAACGGGGGCACCGAGAGAGCTGGCACCGGGCGGCGGCCTGCACAACCGCAGAGCAAGTCCCGCCTGCGATCCCGCGCACGCTCGCTGCTTCGCCTGCACGAAAGCCGTTGCGACGGAGGTCCAAGACGGCCGTGTATGCGTCTCGTACGAGTGCCCACAGTGCAAGGCAAAGGTTGAGTCAACCACGCGAGACGGACGCATCAACAATCGACGGCAGTGCGGACACAGGTTTACGGTCGCCGCGGGCCAGGTCGTCGCGACCCGGTCGGCGACCATACGCTACTCGTATGAGTGCCCACAGTGCAAGGCAAAGGTTGAGTCAACCACGCGAGACGGACGCATCGACAATCGACGGAACTGCGGCCACATGTTCACTGTCGCCGCAGGCGAAGTTGTCGCGGCGCAGTCGGCAACTGCACGCTATTCGTATGCCTGCCCACAGTGCAAGGCAAAGGTTAAGTCAACCACGCGAGACGGACGCATCGACAATCGACGGAAATGCGGACACCAGTTCAGGGTTGCTGCAGGCAAAGTCGCCGCGACCGGGCCCTAAGGATACCGCAAGTTATAGGGGAGGGGGCGGACGGAGCGGGCAGGGTCTATATAGGGGCCTGGAGCGACGGGAGCCAATGGGGCCATAGGTCCATGAGGGGCATGGGCGGCGGGGCAGGGTGCGTGAGGGGTAAGGGGTAGGGAGCTGGGTCCATGAGGGGTAGGTCAAGGGGATGGAGAGGGGGCGGGCGGAGCGGGCGGAGGGGGCGGGCATGCACTGGGGCCTTTTAAAGTCAGCTGAGAAGCCACATGCGAGTGAGGGATGGGGAGGGCGCAGGTGGGGGTGGAGTGTGGGAGTGGGGTGAAAAGGGGAGTGAAAGTAAGGGAGGGCGAGGAAGGATGGGGAAGTGAGAGAATGGAAAAGTGGGGGAGTGAGGGAGCGAGGAAGCGAGGGGGGGTTGGGGGTGGGGGTGGATATATAGGACCAGCATTGGCAGCCACGCAGGTCGAGGGATGAAGAATGGGACCAGGAGCCATGGGTCCATGAGAAGCATGGCGGGCTGCGTGGGGGGCTTGGGCAGGGGAGTATGCGGAGCGGGAAGGGCGGATGGGCGGGGGCGGGGTGCGTGGGTGGTGGGGATAGGGCAAGCGGGCCAAGCGGCGGAGGTCGAGGGGATGGAGAGTGGGAGCATGCGCCAAGGGGGGAGGAGGCGGAGCTGGAAGGGCGGGCATGGGGCCAGGAGCCATAGGTCCAGTGAAAGGGCGGGGTGCGTGGGGGGTTTGGGTGGGGGTTGGGGTTGGGGGTTGGTGGCAGGGTGCGTACGGTATGGGGGTTGGGGGTTGGGGTGGAGCAGGGGCCATTTTTGTAGGGGCGGATAAGCCACCTGCTTGGGCTGGGGAGCCATGGGGCCAGGAGCCATGGGTCCATGAGGGGCATGGGCGGGGGGGCAGGGTGCGTGAGGGGTAAGGGGGAGGGAGCTGGGTCCATGAGGGGTAGATCAAGGGGATGGAGAGTGGGAGCATGAGCCAGAGTGGAGTAGGCGGAGCTGGAAGGGCGGAGGGCGGAGCCCTTAAAGTCAGCTGAGAAGCCACATCCATCACCCGGGGCCAGGAGCCATGAGTCCAGTGGGGGGCGGGGTGCGTGGCGGTGGGGGTGGGGGTTGGAAGTGTGGGTGCGTGGGGGTGGGGGTGGGGGTTGGAAGTTGGGGGTGGCAGGGTGCGTGCGGGGTGGGGGTGGGGGTTGGGGGTGGGGGGTGGAGCAGGGGCCATTTTTCGGACCAGCATTGGCAGCCATGCAGGTCGAGGGATGAAGAATGGGACCAGGAGTCATGGGTATGAGAAGCATGGCGGGGTGCGTGGGGGGCTTGGGCAAGGCGGGGAGTATGCTAGGACCAGCAGCCATGCAGGTCGAGGGATGAAGAATGGGACCAGGAGCCAAGGGGGAGTAGGCGGAGCTGGAGGGGCGGAGGGCGGAGTGGGCAGCGAGCGGAGGGGGCGGGCATGCGCTGGGGCCCTTTAAAGTCAGCTGAGAAGCCACATCCATGGGCCGTGGACCATGAGCCACTGGGGCCAGGAGCCATGGGTCCAGTGGGGGGCGGGGTGCGTGGGGCGGTGGGGGTGGGTGGGGGTTGGGGGTCGGGGTGGAGCCCTGGGGCCAGGAGCCATGGGTGCATGACAAGCGGGGTGGGGGGGGTTGGGGGTGAGGGGCCATTTTTCGGACCAGCATTGGCAGCCATGCAGGTCGAGGGATGAAGAATGGGACCAGGAGCCATGGGTCCATGAGAAGCATGGCGGGGTGCGTGGGGGGCTTGGGCAAGGGAGGGAAGGGTAGAGGTGGTGGGGGTAGGGGCGGAGAAGCCACCTTAGAAAACACCATAATGAATGGGGAGCCATGGGGCCAGGAGCCATGGGTCCATGAGGGGCATGGGTGCGTGAGGGGTAAGGGGTAGGGAGCTGGGTCCATGAGGGGTAGAGCTGGAAGGGCGGAGGGCGGAGCGGGCGGAGGGCCCGGGCATGCACTGGGGCCCTTTAAAGTCAGCTGAAAAGCCACGGGCCAGGAGCCATGGGTTCAGTGGGGGGTTGGGGGTCGGGGTGGAGCCCTGGGGCCAGGAGCCATGGGTCCATGACAAGCGGGGTGGGGGGGGTTGGGGGTGAGGGGCCATTTTTCGGACCAGCATTGGCAGCCATGCAGGTCGAGGGATGAAGAATGGGACCAGGAGCCATGGGTCCATGAGAAGCATGGCGGGGTGCGTGGGGGGCTTGGGCAAGGGAGGGAGTATGCGGAGCGGGAAGGGTAGAGGTGGTGGGGGTAGGGGCGGAGAAGCCACCTTAGAAAACACCATAATGACTGGGGAGCCATGGGGCCAGGAGCCATGGGTCCATGAGGGGCATGGGTGCGTGAGGGGTAAGGGGTAGGGAGCTGGGTCCATGAGGGGTAGGTCAAGGGGATGGAGAGTGGGAGCATGGGCCAGAGAGGAGTAGGCGGAGCTGGAAGGGCGGAGGGCGGAGCGGGCGGAGGGCCCGGGCATGCACTGGGGCCCTTTAAAGTCAGCTGAAAAGCCACGGGCCAGGAGCCATGGGTTCAGTGGGGGGCGGCGTGCGTGGGGGGTGGGGGTAGGGGTTGGAAGTGTTGGGGGTTGGGGGTGGCAGGATGCGTACGGTATGGGGGTGGGGGTTGGGGGTTGGGGTGGAGCAGGGGCCATATATAGGACCAGCGTTGGCAGCCATGCAGGTCGAGGGATGAAGAATGTGACCAACACCAATGGGGCCAGGAGCCATGGGTCCAGTCACAGGGGGGCAGGGTGCATGGGTGGTGGGGGTGGGGGTTGGAAGTGTGGAAAGGGTGGGGTGTTGGGGGTGGGGAAAGGAGAGTGAGTAGGCGGAGCTGGAAGGGCGGAGGGCGGAGCAGGCAAACCAGGCGGAGGGCCCGGGCATGCACTGGGGTCTTTAAAGTCAGCTGAGAAGCACATCCATGGGCCGTGGACCATGAGCCAATGGGGCCAGGAGCCATGGGTTCAGTGGGGGGCGGGGTGCGTGGGGGGTGGGGGTAGGGGTTGGAAGTGTGGGTGGGTGGGGGTGGGGGTTGGGGGTTGGGGGGTGGCAGGGAGGGGGGTGGGGGCCGGGCATTGACTGGGACCCTTTAAAGTCAGCTGGGAAGCCAGGGCCGTGGACCATGAGCCAATGGGGCCAGGAGCCATGGGTTCAGTGGGGGGGCGGGGTGCGTGGGTGGGGGGTTGGGGTTGGGGGTGGCAGGGAGGGGGGTGGGGGTGGGGGGGGTGGGGGGGGGTGGGGGGGTGGCCCTTTAAAGTCAGCTGGGAAGCCACACCCAGGCCGTGGACCATGAGCCAAAGGGGCCAAGCCATGGGTTCAGTGGGGGGCGGGGTGCGTGGGGGTGGGGGTAGGGGTTGGAAGTGTGGGTGGGTGGGGGTGGGGGTTGGGGGTTGGGCGTGGCAGGGTGCGACGGTATGGGGGTGGGGGTTGGGGGTTGGGGTGGAGCAGGGGCCATACAAAGGACCAGCATTGGCAGCCATGCAGGTCGAGGGATGAGACTGGGAGCATGGGCCAGAGGGGGGTAGGCGGAGCTGGAGGGCGGAGCGGGCGGAGGGCCCGGGCTTGCGCTGGGGCCCTTTAAGTCAGCTGAGAAGCCACACCCATGGGCCGTGGACCATGAGCCAATGGGGCCAGGAGCCATGGGTTCAGTGGGGGCGGGCCCATGACAAGCACAGGCGGCGGGGCAGGGGGTTGGGCGTGGCAGGGTGCGTATGGATGGGGGTGGGGGTTGGGGGGAGCAGGGGCCATATATAGGACCAGCATTGGCAGCCATGCAGGTCGAGGGATGAGAGTGGGAGCATGGGCCAGAGGGGGGTAGGCGGAGCTGGGAAGGGCGGAGGGCGGAGCGGGCGGAGGGCCCGGGCTTGCACTGGGGCCTAAAGTCATGGGGTTAAAGTCAGCTGAGAAGCCACACCCATGGGCCGTGGACCATGAGCCAATGGGGCCAGGAGCCATGGGTTCAGTGGGGGGCGGGCCCATGACAAGCACAGGCGGCGGGGCAGGGTGCGCGCGGAGTGGGGTGGGGGTTGCGGGTGGGCGTGGAGCATGGCGGGGTGCGTGGGGGGCTTGGGCAAGGGGAATGTATGCGGAGCGGGAAGGGCGGATGGGCGGGGAGCGGGTGCGTGGGTGGTGGGGGTCGGGGCGGAGGGGAGACATGGGGCCAGGAGCCATGGGTCCATGGCCCTGCAGGTCGAGGGATGAAGAATGGGTGCGTGAGGGGTAAGGGGTAGGGAGCTGGGTCCATGAGGGGTAGGTCAAGGGGATGGAGAGTGGGAGCATGGGCCAGAGGAGAGTGGGCGGAGCTGGAAGGGCGGAGGGCGGAGCGGGCGGAGGGCCCGGGCATGCACTGGGGCCCTTTAAAGTCAGCTGAAAAGCCACGGGCCAGGAGCCATGGGTTCAGTGGGGGGCGGGGTGCGTGGGGGGTGGGGGTAGGGGTTGGAAGTGTGGGTGGGTGGGGGTGGGGGTTGGGGGTTGGGGGTGGCACGGTATGGGGGTGGGGGTTGGGGGTTGGGGTGGAGCAGGGGCCATACATAGGACCAGCGTTGGCAGCCATGCAGGTCGAGTAATGAAGAATGTGACCAACACCAATGGGGCCAGGAGCCATGGGTCCAGTGGGGGGGCGGGGTGCGTGGGTGGTGGGGGTGGGGGTTGGAAGTGTGGAAAGGGTGGGGTGTTGGGGGTGGGCATGACGCCAGGAGCAAGGGGCCCATGACAAGCACGGGCGGCGGGGCAGGGTGCGTGCGGGGTGGGGGTGGGGGTTGCGGGTGGGGGTGGAGCAGCTCAAGGGATGAAGAATAGGACCAGGAGCCATGGGTCATGAAAAGCATGGCGGGATGCGTGGGGGGCTTGGGCAAGGGGAATGTATGCGGAGCGGGAAGGGCGGATGGGCGGGGAGCGGGTGCGTGGGTGGTGGGGGTAAGGGCGGAGGGGAGCCGTGGGGCCAGGGGCATGGGCGGCGGGGCAGGGTGCGTGAGGGGTGTGAGGGGTAAGGGGTAGGGAGCTGGGTCCATG